AAAATCTCACTTGAAGCTAACCTCAACTAACCAACTCCATGGCGCTGAGCCCTTCTTGAGAAGCCGCCAGTTAAGCAGCTACTCAAGAATTTCCCATCATTTCACGGAACCCGAAGGTTCATTACCGTCTTCTCAAGAGATCTCCCATCGTTCGCTATCCTGAGTCAGATCAATCCAGTCCATACGACCAAATTCCACGTAACATCCGTTTTAATATTATCCTCCCACCCACGTCTAGGTCTGTCATTTCTTCTTCTTGCTTTGCCACCAAAATCTTACATGCATTCTTCGTTCCATGCGTGCTACATGCCGTGCCCATCTCATCTTCCTTGACTTAATCATTCTAATTATACTTGTTGAAGAGTACAAGTTACGAAACTAACCTCAACGACCCCTGTATTCAGAAGAACAAGAGTTCGATTTAAGAGTACTTCGCGGTCGATTGTGCTTGTGGTGGTGTGCACCCACGGAACCTCTACAATCAACGCTTCTTTGTCCCTTAACACACCGCTATTATGGGACATCTGAGGTTCTCTCAGCGGTATTCTGGGATGTGACTGACGCCTTGCAGATCTTTACCGACATACTGGAGAAACCAGACACCTCCAGGCTAAATGAGAGAGACCGCGAAGACTGAGGCAGCACGTTTCTTTGAAACATCGGTAACGATCTACAAGATCACACGGCGCCACACAGAATACGATACTAAACTTCACACCTAAATCTGCCATTACAAATACCGAACTGACAAATGGTTACAGTAAAAGCCATAAAGCCGGGAGAGCGTGGATCTCATTCATCTGGACCAAGTTAAGGAACAGTAGCAGGTTTCTGTAAGCATTATATTGTAACGCGGATGGCCAAAGGGTTGCTAAGCAACGGCTCGGTAAACAAACCTCAAAAACATAGAGAGGCTATCTTCCGTGTCCGTGGTCACGTCACGTAGCGGTGGATGGTCACGTGATGCGTTTACTATGCGTTTATGTCCGTTCAACTACACTCGTATGAGTAAAAGCAGTTACAAGTTACGAATAATACGAATACGGGAAGTTGTAGAGCTAGAAGTCAGCCTGTGAAGATTTCATAGCGATCTGAAGTGCAAATTTCTGTGTTGAGATCCGCTGCTAGGAAGAGACTAGTGGAAACTGGGAATCCTAGTGCGTGTGCAACGGCGAACTGGAAAGTGAGTAAATCGGCGATAGCGCTGTATTTAAGTGGGATTAAGAGAACTTGTAACCAAGGTGCTAATAAATCCAATCACCCTAACTAGAACTCGTTAGTTTCGTCATGAGTACCACCCTACATGTGACAATATTTTAAAAAATGTTAATGTCTATAAATTACGATTGTCTGGAAGAGATGGTGCGATGGTCTGAACACAATAGTTCAGGCCGTTTTTACAGCTGCCTCCAGTATGGCAGAAAGTCGTTGGTGACTTCAAGAAATCCGTTAACCATTCAAAATTCAACTTTATGTTGTGCTACATAGTTGTAATAAAATTAGAAAAAATTAAAACATGAATGTACAAGTTTCCTAATTTGGAAAAAGTGAAGAGAGTTGCACAATTTATCGAATTAGTTGTCAGTGTACAAATGTCACAAGTACAGTTTTTTGTGGGTTATCCTTCGCCGCTGTCACTAGCTAGACTTAACAGCACCGAAGGGGCCGCGCCATAGCTCAAGCGGTTAGTCGCTGGCTTCCCACCGCGGCGTCCCGGGTTCGATCCCGGGTCTCGTCATGTGGGATTTGTGGTGGACAAAGTGGCGCTGGGGAAGGTTTTCTCCGTGTACTTCGGTTTCCCCTGCCAATCTTCATTCCATCAATTGCTCCACAATCACCCTCACCTATCATCTGGGGCTGGTACAATAGGCCAGAAGTGGCCGCAGCACAAGGGGCTTAGTCCCCGCAATAAAAAAAGTCTTTGTACCGCCTAATTCCATTCTTGTCACTATTCCGCAACTGTCAACTCAATTCAATTCCCCTGCTCTCAAGCTCATATCCTGGCAGGCTGGCGTCTCGAAACTCGACTGACTCTTCTTTACGACGATTTCGCACGGCCCACGCAGAAAACACAGCCTCTCTATTGTTGGGAAGGCGTGTTTACAGCGCCGTTGCATAGCAACGGAAGTTACTCGATTGTTACTAGCGTATTCGTTGCCGCGCGAATATGTTTACAGAGTCCTTGTGTAACAATTAACGTCTATTCTGACATTGCTATTCCGTCTTTCGGTCGTCATATCACAATATTTTCCCTCCATCGTCAGGGTAAAAGAGTAAGTCAAACCAGTAAAACACAGGCAGCACACTTACCGGATTAAAATACTCTTCACAGTCATCGCACCAAATCCAACATGTTGTTCCATAAAAGACGGAATACTTCACAGCCAAGCCGCTAATAAAAGAACTCAGTGGACTGTAGTCCGCAAGCGAACTAAACCGACCGAGCGACAGCCGCTTGTCGGCGAAATTAGTGGCAACTTTAGCGGATAGAAGGTTTCGCGTGGTCAGGGCAAAGGTTCCCCACGGCCGTTAATCTCCGTTTTCTAGACGGGACCTACGCCGCTAATGGTTTCTAAATAACTGTGCCCTTTGGCTTGAAGGATGCTGGACTGCATGACGCCATGTTGCAAACATCGTTAACGCCGTCCACCACAGAATGAACAGACTGTGGCACCTCTGTTTCAGCGCTTCTTTCCGTCACTTGAAAAGTCCTTCAGAAAAGCACACAAACCAACAAAAGACGCACACAGCTATGTGTTTAGTAGCGTAATTTTCGGGCAAGTCTCTTGGTTACATGTGAAAAGAGTAACTGGAGTAGCCTTGTCTCTGCTTTGCAATTAAATTTTCGGACGGAGGAACGGTGACGCACTGTATCTAAGGCCCTGTTATAACCAATTGTCCACACTCCTGATCTCAGTTAGCAGTAAAGGGAAGTTATCCCTGTGCTTAATTAAGCATTGAGTCATGAAGACGCAGGGTGGGGGTGCAGGCAAAATACGAAGGCGAGTGGCCAATTTAACTTGTTCGGAAACAGCCCCCGATACCCACGGGATAGGCATCAGATCCGGTCTGAATGCTGGGAAGAGAAAAGATCTCTTGCTCGCGTCGGGAAGGGAACCCCTACTCCTCAGCTGTCCACCCTGTAGCCCGTCGGTAAATCCCGGCTCCATCAAAGTTAGTGGACTCCCTAGCTATACTACGCTGTAGGTTGACTGTGACCCCGTTCCTGCTTGTTCATAGTCTGCAGTCAGCACAAAATGTGTTCACATGAATCCTTACTGATAAGATAACCCGAACAGAGCATCTCTCGCTATGAAGCCTAGGAATGTGTCATAGTGCGCTTACATTTCTCCTCCCCTCTGCTCCTCTTACGTGCCGAATGACCACGCCATTGGGGCGTAGAGAGAGGCTCCACACATGCCTCTACTGAGCTGGATGCTGTAGAACACCAGTTACATTAAACGGGTACTCGGTTTGAATCTCGGCCGATGCACGGGTTATACTGACTTCAGTATAGTGATTTTCCTGTCCCTCCATGGAAATGAGCGGGATGGTATTTAGAGTAGGCCACGACCGCTTCTATAGTGATAGCGTTGAAAATTAAACCGCTCTGGCTCTAGAACATGAGTGACAGGAGTCGAACCCTACAACACTTGCAAGTGGATGGGTCCGGCACAGCTGCCTCCGCAGTCTAGGGGTAACGTTCCCACCTCATGACTCAACGTACGCGGGTTCAAACCCGGCGCAGGTCGTGGAATTTTTAAGGGCGGAAAAATTCAGGGAACAAGTCCACCGGGAGGGAGGATACGTTCCTCTGAAACGTCGGGGAACTTCCACTGGGACTACGCGAAGCGTCATATCACAGGCTACAGCATACTTCATTGTCACCGCCGTGACAACATGTCACTTCGCTTTTACTTCAAATTAAATTCCTCCTTTCCTTCCTACATTCCTATCTTCTTCACTTCCTTCCATCCCTTTTACATTCCGATCTTCTTCACTTCCTTCCATCCCTTCTACATCCCTACATACTATCCTTCCTCTTTTAATTACATTCCTTCCATATTATCCTTTTAATTTCGAGGTCTGAACCTTTCGCCACCGATACCAACACAAATGCGACCTTTAGCGGCAGTAATTTGATTTGCGAAAAACACAGGGTCCACTAAGGTCCTCCCGAGGCCCTGCTCAAACTAGAAGACAAAAAACAATACGTAGGAATTGCGCACATCCGGAATCATGTTTATCCACAGTTTACTTCAGTTGCTCACTACCGGATATTTGACTTGTAATCGTGACGCTGCGGCACTTAACTGGTAAGAGCTGTACCAACTTGGCCCTGCATTATTTGAGTAGTAATCAGCCGGGAAGGGTTCGTTAAGCCGCAGGATCTCGCACCCACGATAATTAAAGTGGTCTGAGATGGGCAGGGGATGTAGCACGAATGGGGGGGAAAGCCAGGACGAAAGTGACCACTGGGAAGACCAAGGCGTATGTATGTGGATGCACAATATTAAAATGGATCCTAGAGAGATCGGATGGGTTAGTATGGATTGGACAGAGATGGCTCACTAACTTCGCCGACAAGCGGCGGTCGCTCGGTCGGTACAGTTCGCCTGCAGCCTCAAGTCACAGAGCTTTTGTTTGGGCGAATGAAGATGTGAATGGAAAGTTGTTTGCACCGAACGGGTTAGGTTAGCGTCAGAACAGGGCCGTGCCATGCATGAGGCGGTTTAGTCGCCGGCTTTCCAACGTGGCGGCCGGAGTTCGATCTCAGGTCTGGTCATGTTCGCCGACAAGCGGCGTTCGCTTGCAGACTACAGACCACTGAATTTGTTTTTTGTTTTGATTTATCCACTTATCTTGAAAATTAAGAGACATAGTAACGACGTCCACTAGCATATAAAAAGAAAATTCGTACTGAATTATGACACACCTGAAAGAGAGACTTCGACGTCAGACATACAGGATACTGAATAAGACAGAGAAGCCTCACTTACCCACGTTACGTTATCTCTATCTGCTGCAGTACCGCTTTTCTGGGTCCGATGTGGATGACGACCTCTGTTCAACATTTCTTCGTCTTCATTTTCCTCTTCCTCCTCTTCATCCCTAATGCTGTCTCCATCATCTTCAACGTCATCGTCGTCATCGTCTTCATCATCATCATCTTCGTACGAATCTTCTATACGACTTCTCGCTTGGCCGTAACGCTGATCAGCTGAAGATCTTAACATCGACGACGAAACATGATCGCGTCTTGGATAACTTGCAAAATATGATTCATGTCGGCCATTTCCTTGATCAAATCGCGTCACGTGACTCTGATGATTACTTTGTGGTGATTTTCTTCCTTCCGAATCAAGTCTATTAATTAAACGATCTAGTGGTGATAATTTACTGCTGGTAGTTGTGGTGACTGTACTGGCAGTATAAGGTACAAGCCTTCCACTACTGATGATACCAACAGCAGCTTGGTGAAGTCTTCCATTGTTGCTTCCATGATGGTGTTTATGGTGCAATGTATGGTGCTGTGTTGACGCGCCGGATGAATAGTATCCAGAAGTGCGGGGATATTTATTGGTGTTACTATTCGCATTCCTGTTATAAAAATACGCACCTTTAACTGACGGGCATATCAATGCCAGTAACACAAGTGTCAGTATTGTTACTGCTGAAGACTTGTTAAGAACTGAACTTGCCATTGTTCTGTTAAATTCTGTTGATGAATATTTTAGCGTGCCTTGCGAAATTATTGTTGATGTTCAGTCGAAGTGGATCACTGAATAGCGTTATCAACATCAAATTGGGCGTGTTAACACAATACTGTTTTCTCTGGTGGAGGAATCACGGGTTCGTTCTATGAAAACTGTACTGCTCTTCTGGTAAACTGTGGTCAGGGCAGTCCAACTTACAAACACATGATACCACGGAAAATGGGGTCACACAACTGGCACGTGTTTCAGGTTAGCAGTCTGTAAGTAAAATTTAAGAAGGAACTCTCTTGTAAAGAGGCTATTATGACAAATGACAACTTTTAACAAATGAGTTAAGGAAGTGGCACGTTCGTTCATGAATTCTCAACCTGTCTCATATTCAAGGTTGGAAAATACTTTTGTCTGATGCTTAGTTACGATCACTTTTAAGTCTACACGTTCAAGTAAACATATTTCTGACATCTCTTAGACAACCGAACACAAAATGCCTGTTTCTCTTGTCCTTAAAGTCCTCGTGTCTTTCCTTGCTCAAACACTTGTATATTTCTTTATTTTTTACACACCAGTCTTAAACTAACTGCTGTTACTCAAAACACTTGTTCATGTCCAACGTCAAAATATCCTCTCTTGTTGCCATAACACCTCACAAAAATCAATTTATCCTCAGGTTTAATACTTACAAGTATCTTGTTTCGTATTATCTCACGGAACACCCGATATTATTAAAAAAGTGTCTGCCCTCGAAAGCAATAAAAAGCGGTGTGTTCGTCCGGCTTCATTCCTCACACAAGCATTTAAATTAAAAACACATTATGTTATGAAATGATATGTTTGGTTGACGGAAGGTAATGACAACAGCTATGTTTGTGTGATATCGTACTAGAATATTGTACATGTAACACTGTCGTACTCAACTGCAAAAACCACATAAAATAAAACCACAAACACACCGCGCCATTAATAATAGTCTAACTGAAAGCAGACGGCGGAACAACGATCAAAGAATAAAAAGAAAAGGGACACAAAATCAAACTACACTTTCATATACACCATATGTTTCAAAGAAATGTTACAATTCCACTGATTTTTGGCGAAAATCTCGATTAGTGTCACATCCTATACACAGCGGAAAAAAAAAGTATAGTTCTTTGTGTGAATGAATTGTTCGCAAGTTCAGTGGCAGATCAATCAAATCTGTTCAACAAATTTCCTGTCAAATTCACACGGAGCTCACCATACTCCACCGAACGTTAAACTTCGGTGTAACACACGCAATCTGTTGAGATTAGCACGATGCTTCTGCGCAACGGATCCTTTATAAGTGAAATGCACTTCACAGCAATAAACATGTCCTTGGTAATGAATGCAAACGAAACTCGGCGTTCTAGTCAAATAATTATCAAGTCTTGTTACTTCACACACTGAACTGGAAGCCACGCGGATGAATATATTTACCGCTATATAGTGCACAGGTATTTCTGAATGACTGACACAGTTTTGAATGATGATTAAACATAATTAACAACGCTAAGTGAATCAAGCATACAAAGCAATTAGCATATTATTCTGTAAGAGGATAGTATGAAGTTGGTATATTATAATGCCCTGTATAAATAAATTTGGGAGGATACTGAAAGCATAACTCGCATCCCTTCACCTAGCTGACAGCTGGATGACCATTGCTGCGTTATGGACCCAACTGATTTCAATATTTTATAGTAATCTTGATGTCATAAAACAGTCTACAAACACGAATTATTAAAATGCAAGGTAGTACTGCATAATCTACTTCAGAGCCTCAAGATGGATAACAATTTAAAAACTGAACTTCCTAAGTTAATAAAATGTATAGTCAGTGTAAAGTTTAAATTTATGAATAATAAATATATTTAATTTTAGAACCCACAAAAACACAGGCCCAAATTACTAGCAAGAAAGCAGTAAGTTGCACGGTACTCATCGCTACACGATGTTAACCACACAACACATACTTGTTCCAGAAGAACACTGTTTAATTTACTAAAACATTCACAATTTGTTTCTATTTTAAGGTTAGGTTGTTAATTTTTGGTCGCCGATTAAAACCTTCCGTCACAATCGCAAACCATCAATGATGTTTAGAACACATACAAATTCACTGACGCATTGCAACAGTAAACCGCGTCGGCGTCTTTCCTTTACGGAAGAATTCAACCGCGCACGAAACAGTTGACGACGCACTAACGTCCCGCAAGTGAAGACAACTGACTGCTGCTCGCTGCCCGTCAGCGAAGGAAGACCCGTGAGTCTCTGCCAGCCAGAGGGATAATGGAACTAGCTCCCTCTATCTCTCACGCGCAGCTTAGAAATCTTATTGGCCCACTTCTCCAGCCACACTTACGAGCCTCCTATTGTTTTCGGCGCGTTCATCGAGAAGCGATTATTGTCGAAGTACAATTTACACGACTTACATAATAAATCCTGGGTATAAAGCATGGATCACCATGTGCTCTTACGAACACAGTACTGGCCGTTCGGGTTTCTAAAACGCTGCAGAACTTCCTAACTGAACCACCATCAGCTTCTCAAGAAGGGCAAGAAGACTATAATATTTACCCTTGTGCCTAAGCAGCTGTGTAACCTATAGTAGGTTAAGGTAAAGTTGTCTTTCTGCTTAATTAAACACAATACCATGGAGACGTATGGGTGAGCGGAGTTATAACTCCACATACTTTTAACCCCGGAGGTTCAAGACCCAGCCGGCTCATTCCCAGAGAAAAATTGACCCCCCTTTTTTTATTTAATAGAAGGATGTTGCCCAAGGGCCAATCCAGACGCTGCGGAAGACGAAGTATCTCTTAACCCTGTCGAGAATCGAACTGCGATTCCTCGATTGTCCAGCCCGTAGCCTAAGTTCTATACAGACTTAGCTATCCCGGCTCCTGAAGAATAGAAAATCCCCAAAAATATTCGTTTTAACACTATTTTTTTTAATTCGCATAGTGGGGGGTGGAGTCCAGCTGGGTCCACTCGGCACGTCGGCCACTGATTGGTCTATTGTACCTACCCCGGGTCATTATGATGATGGATAATTTGGTGAAATGAAGATTGGCAGGGGAAACCGAAGTACTCGGAGAAAACCCGCCCCAGCGCCACTCTGTCCACCACAAATCCCACTTGACCAGACACGGGCTCGAACCCGGGCCGCCGCGGTGGGAAGCCAGCGACTAATCGCTTGAGCTATGGCGCGGCCGTGACTTCAGCATTATGTGAATGACAGGGTTTCCTTGGTTTTAGACACATTTTTATCTATATCTCTACTGAGTATGCTCCTCAAATCACTGCACTTATTTTGAACCATACTATACATAGCCCGTTCACATATTCTTGTTTGTTCAATGAAGCAATGCTAGCAGTGCTCCTGCTGCGACTGCTATCACAAGAAGCGGATGAATAATGAAAACACGAAATCTTCGCCACTGGCCGCTCTCACTTCTAATAGTCAGAAGGTCACGTAACGCGTTCAACCATCCAGAAGTTTACACCTCAGAATTATCGAGAGCTTGACTCACCACAGTGTTGGACAAGCTTATTAACTGACGCCAAAGAAATATACGCCAACCTCATTATATGGCTCTTTTGTGGAACTTGCGTCATAAAAATCTACTGAGATTCTGAACACTAAAATCGAACATTTCGCTATGTTCCACCCTATCTCGTGCTTCCAGTACTATAGGGAAATTTTTAAAGCTATTGACGTGTTTACGGCTCCGCGCTTCACCGCTACTGGGACATCGCCGGCCGTTAAGCGCACGCGAATTTTGTCGATGACTCAGCATGCTTGACGGTCGATAACGTTTGGAATGTAGGAAAATAATTAACTAGTAGACCTCTACACCGTATTATGTTACACGGCGGGAAGTGCGGTTCATGCATGGGAGTTTATGATTTATCGGCAATAGGCAGTAGTTATCAGCGCCATGAGCCATTTGTTCCCAGTTAACAGTTAGTCAGCAGTTTGGCACGATATGGTTCGTGATAGTTTAGAGTAAGGTGTATTCCTGTATGACACCTATGTGAAATACGGATCTTCTGGAAGGTGTCGGCGAAAAGTTCGACGTGAATTTCGTGATGAAAGAGTTCCCAGGAGGCAATTCATGATTTGGTGAATAAACTTCGAACAACATGATTCTTAATATAGACAAGAAAACGAAACATAAGCGTTGAGTGCTTACTGAGAAGTGATCCTTGCGGTTTTTTCTTCTGGAGTTGTGTGGAGGACAAAGTTTACAGCAGTAACCTTCGAATGGAAGGACTGAAAGAAAATTTTCGTAAGGGAAATTTCAAATGTTCCTGCAGATAATCTTCAGGAGGTGAATCAAAACCTCTTCCGTCAGTGCGAGGAATGTCTACGTGCAGAGGGACAGCATTTTCAACACATTCTGTGATTTATGTACAAAAGTAAGAATTTCCCTTCATTCCAAATGTTGTCTTCATGCTGAGTTATCGGCAAAATTCGCGTGCGTTCCGCGGCCGGCGGTGTATCGGTAGCGGTGAAGCTAGGAGCCGTGAACGCGTCAAGTTCAATAAAAACCAATCTGTATAACTGCTACACCGTCACTCTGCTCTTAGCCACTGCGGTGTTAACATGGCAGAATTGAAATCATTTGTAACAGTGCAACGTGATTGGCGAAGGTTACATCCAAGAGAAAAGCCGCCAGATTATAAGGCTCTGAATAGCTGGTTGAAAACAGTTCAAAGAAGCGGGAAATGTTGCGAAACAGAAATCTTCAGGTCGACTAGGAAGAAAGAGAATGTGGAGCGCATTACACAGTCTAAAAAGTCAAACACTCGTCGGAGTTTAGAATTAGGGATTCCAAAACTACGATTGAAAACGTCATTCACAAGCGTTTACGCCTTTGTGCCTACAAGATTAAGCTGAAGCACGAACCGATTTAAATCCTGCATATCAGAAAAGAAGACCGCCTCTGTGGTTTAGTGGTCAGAGTTCCGGCTACAGATCCAGAGGTCACGGGTTCGATTCCCGGCGCTACCAGAGAAGTAGTGGTTCTGGAACGGGATCCACTCAGCCTCGTAAGGATAACTGAGGAGCTGTTTCAAGGAAGTAGCGCTTCCGGTCTAGAATACCAAGATTAACAGCCGTGGGGATTCGTTGCGCTGACCACGCGATACCCTCTATCCGCAAAAGTTGGCGCTAACTTCACCGACAAGCGGGGGTCGCTCGGTCGGTATAGTTCGCTTGCGGACTACAGGTCACGGAGTTTGTTTTTTGTTTATACCATAAAACAAACGCAGCCTTCTGCTGCACGGCCCACATCTCGCCTGACATTGACCCGCAATGAGAGGTAAAACTAGCGGGGCTCAAGAAGTCTGACGGCCGGCCTTGCGCACAAATTGTGTCCACTGGTCAACCGGCAAAAACAATTCATCGTCGTTCGCTACCCATCATCAACTGATCACATCCAAAACTTGCGTTCTTTCTCCGCATTTCAAAACTTGAATCATTTCGATATGTTTAACAGTTTCTGAGTGACAGTGTTTTTAATCCAGGCATTCTTTTTCGATGACCCAGTATTTAGTAGTCCAGCTCTCTGGACAGCCCTCACCCTTACGGCACGCTGATGTGACCATCACGCTGCTCTGACAGAATGCACTGTGTAGGATTCACTGCCCACAGGGAGAACTGCTTACGTCAGAGGAACTCAGTATAGGATGGGTTATGCATATTGTCACGTGCATCGGGTGAAGGAGAAGCGGGTTTGGATTGGTAATTGGATTTACTTAACAACCTACAGGTCGATTCTAAAGGGTTCTGACGATGGTGGATGACACATAGAATTACTGGGTTTTGGACTTTTTCCATCGTCCGGAATTCTAGGTAATAGAAGACAGGATGTTTCCGTCTCAGGTGAGAAAGGAAGACACCTCAGTTGGGCCCCTTAGAAAGAGCTACATTCAATCACTGGACCAATCAATCGTCCAGTGATCGAGATTAGATCTTTCTAAGGGGTCCAACTGAGTAGGTGTCTTCCTTTCTCACCTTAAGACGTAAACAGACCCAGTTTCCGAAACGTCGTGTCCTCTATTACCTAGAATTCTGGACGATGGAAAAAGTCCCAAAACCCCAGTAATTCTGTGAACATACAGGTCGTAACTACAAATTACTGTTACATTAGTGCTGATTTACACAATTTACAATCACTCCACACTAATCTTCTCAGTCTATATCCACTAGTCTTCACTAACCGTTCCCTAGCAACGGATTTAAAACACGGGAACTACAAAAGCAGAATGCAGAGTTTTAGTATGTCAACGCAGGTGGTACATACAGAAACATTGGACTTCAAGAGTTACGCTTGCCGTAACCGTGACTCTGCGAGTTCTCCAAGCGTGGGCAATGAGGGATAACATGTGACGCCGTGTAGTTTCGTTGAAGATTGGCGACACTTCGGAAGAAAGAACTACCTCCATCTTCGGGGTCGAAAGTAAGCCAAACAAGCAAGCAAGCAGAACGTTTGTAAAATTCTACCAGATTACACGGAGTCATGTCCCAGAAGACAGTACTTTTCATGTAGTAACAGGTTTATAGAGCTCCCGAACTTCACAAGTTTTACTATGTAGACCTTGAGGTTCTCTCAGCGGTGGTTATAGGTAGTAGTATCTTTTCAGAAATAGCACCGTATGGTCCGTTGAGTCAACCGACGTTTCGGAACAACATGTCGCCTCCACTTTCAGGGTCAAAAAAAATAAGCCGAGTAAGCTCTGCTTGCCACCTTATTTCACACTGGTATCTCGCTCGGCTTATTCCTCGACCCTGATGATAGACGCGACATGTTCCTCCGAAACACTGGTTGACTTAAACGGACTACACGGCGTTATATCACAGAATATAGTAGTACTCTTCAAGTTTTACAATGGTTGTAAATGAATGGAAATGATTAAATCTAATTGGCTGTTACGTTACAACATAATTATACCAATTAGTGCACGAGTCTTTACGATGTGTGCTGTACGGGATACTCTGTGTACCATATACAGTACCGCAAAGGTTTTCTTTCTGTTTCTATAAGAACAATGGACTGATTTCCATGGAAGTGAAGGGTTCTGTCTGCCAGACACGAGATCCCGTGCATCTCCATTCACTTTCTGTGAAGGAGACCCGAGTTCTCTAGGTCAACGCTCCGCGCAGGTACTGGAATCTGATAACCAAGAAACCCGTCACTGTTCTATTGCCTCAGGATATTTACTTTCCTTTGTAGACTTCATGAGATTC